GAAGATAGGTTTGCCAAAAGAATCAGGTTCAACTAAGAAAATATGTACACTGCTTTGACTCAGTAAACTGATACTCGGTATGGTTCATCTTCTTCATATTTACTTTTGCCCATATTAGAAAACAATTAGCTTACTAAACAAATTTGAGTATTTGGGAAGAAAAAAATTTACTTTGAGTCTCTCTCATTTGACTAAGAATTACATGATATTTGATAAGCTTGTTTAAAAATGGACATAGCCAAATATTATTGTAAACACCCATTGATTTGTTTTACCTGCAATATAAGTATTTTACTTAGTTGGCTTACATAGTAGCTAATAATATTTGTTAATGTAATTTAACTGCTGTGAACCTTTACTGAACAAATATTGAAATTTATACAAGTCAAAGAAAGAGAATCTCTAATGACTTTTGTAAAAGCTTCCATTTAATAGTTAAGGAGAAAAGTTTATATGACATACCAGATGCAATTAACAGTAGATTTTACATTTAATAAAAAGAAAGAAGCATATGTATTTGCTTTATTCATTCCATCATAATTTGCATTAGAGCTGTGGGTGTTTAATGAGCAAATTCCAGCTAAAATGCTATATTGATTTTCTAAGTGAACTTTGTAATAGCTATCTACCTTACAAAAGCTCTCTGTTTACAATTGTTTTCTTTACTAAAAACTAAAAATGTTTTAGAATTGATGAGTTTAGCGTAATGATTCTTTTAAAATAAAGAGCTCTTTTAGAGTATGCAGGGGTTTTAGTTACAAGGAGAAAGATGTTATTAAATTGTTCCAAAGCAAATATAGTTTTTGCAACTAAGTAGTAATGTCATAGTTGTGTGTATTACAATGTTTGCAAGCATTAGAAAATAATACTTTTTTCTTAATTTAGCACTATGGGATTTAAATATTTTAACTCTTGAATGTCATTATATGTATATGAATTAGTAAACGACACAATTCCTTTTAGCTTAATACTTGACTATTTATACCTCATTTGTGTGTGTCATTTTCTTGCTTGAAACATGAGTTCTAGGAGAATTTGTGTTTCTTGTTGGTCAGGCCTCAAGATAAACAGGATAGGGTTGGTTGGTGCACCATTGGAAGGTCTCCAAAAAAAACTCGTGGTGTGGACTAGAGCAGTTGGTGACTAAGTAGTTGGATCACTTTTTTCATTGGATCAGACATCAAGTCAGTGTGCCAATATGGGGCTAGTGTTTTGCTGGATATGCCATATCTTGAATGGGACTCAGAGCCTGACTCGTTACTCTCAATTAACTTTCGCCAGGCGTTTTTAAGCGTAGGGATGATAATTTGGATATTCTTTGCTGGTTTTAATATGGAGGATTTTTAAGTCACTCACTCTCATATACTTTTTATCGGACAGTTTATACTTCACATACTTTCCTAAATGTGACACAAAATGTTTTGGTTTGCTGCTGCTTTGCAGCCCAAAGGTCAATGTATTTCAGTGGTTTATTTGAAGAATCTTGTGATCCTTATGGTCCTGAACTTTTACTTGTGACTCATCCATAGCTCAACGTGAATGGTGAATGTTATTGTTAATAGCATCATACTTCGGACTACCTGCAATTGTGTAACTGTTATAATATTCAATATAGTTTTAAAAAAGGGGATTTGCAAACCATTAAGTAGAGTCAGAAATGTATAGGCTTTGGATAACACAAATGTCTAACCTAAATTCAGCAGAAGCTTTGCCTGGTAGGGGAATCAGATGAGTTAGTCTTCTGTAGACCATTAAAATGAGTTAGATGAGGACTTTAAGTATTTCTTAAATTAGTAATAATTTCTTGTGGTCAGTGTCAGTATTGCTACGTGGTATTGAAATACCATGTAGCTAACTATCTTTTTTTTTCTTTTTTTTTTCTTTTTTTTAACTGAGATTACCGTGCAGGCATCTTACATGATTTTCTATACTCTCCCTAGTCTGTTTTAATGTGAAAAAATTAACTTGTAATGTTACTTTTAAGAGATAGAACGAAAAGCCAATACTTGTAATTGATATGAAACTACTATTTTTTTTTTTTTTAATGTAGTTGGTGGATCTGGTCATTGGGATATTTACTCCAGTGCCTTAACTTAGTGGAAGGATAAAAAAATAACAGAAGGAGTTGCTCAATTTAAGTCACTTTTCCATAGCCAATGGTTGAAAGACAGTATTTTGTAATGGACCTTTGTGTGGGGGAAGGGTTCACTGTTCAAGGCAGTTAGCCTCTGGGCTGCTATCAGTGATGGTAAGATTTGAGATAAGCAGGGTGTTTAACTTTAAAAATCTTTTTCTGAATGTTTTTGTACTGTTAAATATAGATTACTTTGGTTTAAGGACAAATAAGCAATAATCTGTTTTTTGAAAGCCTATAGTCATTATTACCACTGGTTATAGTTCCTCAGAGAGGGAATTAGATAGACGAAAACACAGTCCCTCTAGGTGTAGTTTTATGCTCAAGATCCATTGCAGCAGTCAGCAAACTGTGGGTTTCTGTGCTGAGATTGGGACGTTATAGAGTCTGACAGAAGAAGGAATGCACTCAAAGAAGTTAACTAATCTGGAAACTAATTAACTCCAGAACAGTAATAAGTGCCAAATCTTCAGTTATTTTAGACAGCTTTCTATTCATTCTAGTGATTGTTTTCATTATAAAAATGGCATAATATTTCCACTTGCAGCTTTATGGAGAGGGTTCTCTGTGCATTGTCTCTGGCCTAATGCTAGATAAACTGACATAATTTACTGAAAAAAGTATAGTAAACAAATATATTAAGGTACAGATAGGTAATAAATACCATACATGATTAAACTGCTTGTGTATTGCAGATCCAACCGGGACACAGAAATTGTTTTGTAGTTTACCCAGGCAGTCAATGCTGAGGCACTAATTTCCCTGCCATTACTGATCGCAGCAACCTAAGTGGAAGTCTGGTGGGCTGAAATGCACAGTCCACCCCATACAGTTTGTTCTTGCTGAGCCACCTAGCTTTGCAGGTATTAGACTCATTCTCTGCAAGTGCTGCAAACTTATTCCTGACTACCAATCTGTGTGCATGCAGTTTTGCGGCTGCTTTACTCATGCCTTAGTTTTTCCATTCCTCATCAGGCAAAGCTTTCTTGTTGCAAATAGGACAAATAGATCTTGAAGAAAAAAGACACTATTCTTGTGGAACAAGTAAATACTCAAATAGAAGGAAGTTAAATCAGCATTCATTAAATTTTTTGTACATTTCAAAATTTGTGCTTCTGACACTGAATATGCAACTTGTCACATCTCTGGCCCAATGATTAGACTTGCAGTTCCTCTGCAGATTTTTGTGAGAGGAGGGACTGCACTCCCAGAAGTGACATTTAGACTTTCCCTGTCTTTTGTCCAGTCTGCTGTTATTGTGCAACCTTTTGCTAGACCTACAAAAAATACTTCCTTACTCCTCAGTAACGCTCTTCTCCCCAGCTTGAGGACAAAAGGATTGTTTTTGCACCTTGAACAACTTCCTAATTCATCTCTCTGCATTCTTTTTCTGTTCGTCTTCTCACTCATCTTACATCCCAGATTACCTGAGCTGCTTGTGTGCTGAAACTTACTTTTTGTATTTCAGTAGGTTGGGGTGTTTTGGGGTTTTTTTTCCAGTAATGTGTATTTTGTGTCAGCAGTATAGCTGCTACCAAAATGTACTACTATGTTCCTATCTTTCCATTCTGTGAAGAACCATAAAATGTTTTATATTATATCACACTGTGGCGTTTTTCAACAATAATGTACAAAGGTGAAGTAAGAGTAAACTAACCTATAAAGGCAACAAAGTGGATGTCAATTGAGGCAAGAATGGAGGGGATAAAAGCTCTAGGTTAAAGTGAAGAGTAAGCCTTTCTTTGAGATCTTACCTTAATGACATGAGCCGTGGTTCAGAGAGGAGCAGAGTTCTGAAGGGGGTAAGGAAGCCCAGCAGCAATGGCATAATATAGGAGGCTCCTGAGAATAAAAACATGCCAAAATTTGAAAGAGAGTGTAGTATGGTGTTAGAAGGCTGTGGCTAAACACCAGCTTGGCAGACTAGGAGGGGAACATGGAGAATTCTGGAACCTACAGACCTCAGCTGAGTTTTTTGGAGGTGCCAATGACAGAGAGGATATAGTCCTCTGTCTTGGAATGACAGCGGTCTTACTGTGGCATCCTGAAAGTCCCTAGACATTTCAACTGCAGGGCTTTATGATGACTGTGAGGAGAGATTTGCAGTATTGCAAAGGGAAATGATGAAAGTATGAATAAAGATTTTAGTGGAGGCAGGGTCGAGGTAAGCATTCTGGCAATGTGCCAGAGATGGTGTTAGACAGATTGACGGGGGGAGGCAGGAAGAAAATGTAAGCTCAGGATGAGGAATGACTTGAAGGTGTTAGTTTTCTCCCAAGGATAGACGGTAAATCTTAGTTTATTGGCACCTAATGCTCCAAGGTCCAAGTATGCCGTAACAGATAATATAACAGTATGTTACACACTAAAGTAAAGGCTTGGCAGAGAAGGAGAGATGCCAGCTGTGCCACTCTTTTGATACCAGAGACAGACTATGAAAATATTAGAATTTTTAATATTCAATATCAGTGTGCCACCCTGAGAGGAAGCAGTGTGATGGTAGAATTAGTTTTAATGGATCATTACTTTTACCTCTATGTCCTAGAAGAAACCTACCTTTGTCTCATATGATTCTGAGCTTTAAAAATTACTTTTCCGTTAAGCAAGTATTCAGAATACAAAGCAAGTCACTTCCTTGCCCTTTTTGATTATACAGGAGCGAATGTGAAAACACATAGCTTTATTTCATTCCTTAAAGTGTTCATATTAACAATCAACGGCAATTTAGTGTTGTGTCTGAAGAGTAATCTCAGGTCAGTGGAGAAATGTTGATTTTAGGAGATGTTGGCAAAGGCCCATGTAAGTGCATCTAATAGTGTCTTTCCCTGTCAAACTTGTTCGTTAAACACACTGGTTACTTTTGCAGCTCTGGTGGAGGAAGTTTATTCTGCTCAACGGGAACGTGACGAGGCTGTCATGGCAAGGCTTAGGTTAGCCAATGAAGAGAGAGATGAAGCATTTCTACGAGTCCAACATTTAGAAGAGTCTCTCAAAGAGTAAGTATACATCTCCTGCCCTGTGCAAAAAGGTTGTTGTGTTAGTCTGTCACTGTCACAAGCTGCTCGACAGTGGTTATATAGGAAAACTTAGCACTATCTTCTCTATGATGAAATACCAGGCTAATGCTAGTCTTACTGTGCTTATGGTTGATTTGTTAGCCATCCTATAAGACTGTATTTTTCTCTGGAGACTGAGAGAAAAGTGAATAATTTTGTTCACAAAAAATAAAAATATATAATCAAAAGCTTTGGTATTGATTTATTCAGGGATAAATAAGACGAATGTGGCATTTTATAGGGATCTTTTGACACAGAGTATCAGAATGTCAGTTGGAAGTTGTAATGTATAGGAAATCAATCAAGCTTTAAGCCCACTAGACATTTTCTTCAGCAAAATTTCTACTAATGATGTGGGTGATGTAGTAAAAATACATGAGTTGTTTCTTCTCTTCAGTGTAGGAAGAGTCTGTAAGGCAATAAGGGTATAACTGATACTTCACAGAGTTTTATGTATGCCATGTTAACACAACAGAAATAGGCAATATGAAATTAAACAAAACTCTTAAATCAGGAGAGGAACATCAAGAGGAGTTTATTTTCTCACTTTGGGATATAGGTAGCTTTGAAGCTACAGTTTGCCTCTCCATGTAATCCTTGTCCATCTGAGTTGTGATCATGTTGGGTACTGTCTATGGTAGTCCTCCAAAGGGTGGTTCCCCAAAGTCTAGAGTGGCTGAGAAATTTCTTCTATTTTTCTGCCAAGAGAAATACAAAGCAAACAGAGAGGTTTTTCGTGGTAGGAGACTGAATAGGTGCAGTGGTTATTTAACTAAGTGCAGACAATTATGTTTTAAATAATTGATTCTATTTTTGTAGGTAAAGCCAGAGAATGTTATCTAAATACATTTCAATAATCTGCCCATAGTTTGTGCACCATTACTCTGTGGAATTTACAAGTTACTTGAGTTTGTCACAGCCTGTAAGTATGACTGAACAGCAAGATTAGGAGATTCCATTCCCACAAGAATTAGTGCACTATTTGTTAATGTCTCTACAGATCCCATTATAGGTGTACATGCATCTGACATCTTGCTTTGAGCAGCAGTCTCTGAGGAAATTACAAGTGTGGTTTACATTCCCATAAGAGGCATCATAACTATGAGCCTTACTCCAGTCTTTCCAGTTTCTTCCATCACTCTTCTAAGTTTTTGTGTTCCAAGAGTAAAGAAAGCAAGAAAGTTTTGTATGGCTCTAAAAATCAAACATAACTGTGCATAAGCTTTTAGCATAAACTCAAGATCATTGGGGTTGAAGCGCTGAAGTCCTGCAGCAAACGAATTATTCTGGTCGATAAACCTAGCCAGTGACTTTTGGGTTTCTGGAAGAAATCACAGGTTATTAAGTGTGTGAGAGGCGTATGGCTGCTTTTCCTGCAGTGGAATCTGTAGACACACATGTGGCAGGTTTTGACACACATGAATCCCTCAGAAGACCATCACCTATTTTCCTGTCAACCCCTTTTGTCTGCTTCACTCATGTACTTGAAGACCAACTCAGTTCTAAGCAGAAGGATAAGAAAAAAGAAACTGTTTCCTGGAGAACGTGCATACTACCTTCCCCAAAAGAATGTCGTGGCAGAAGGCACTGGGTACACTGGTAATGAAAACAAGGATACTTGCTCCAAGGAGAGGGTCAATAACTCCCTTGGCTGATAGCTTGGAGCCAAGCTATTATACCTTATTGCTATCATTTAGGGAACAGCAAGTGTTAATGCTGTCATCCGCTTGGGTGCTCTTTCTGGTGCTTTATAGAGAGGCCTGATACCCTGACGCCATTCTAAGTCTCAGAATTGGCATAGGAGATTTCCCTGTGGAGAACACCAACCCAACAGAGATAAAAATTGCGATGGACTAACCAGCTACTGTTGGTTCAATACCTGTTATAAATTTCTCTTTGCCTAAACAGTGAGCCATTGTCTGTAGCTAATATCTCTTCCTGTATATTCTGTAAGTGTGCAGGTCAGGCTTCTGTGTGGTATTTGCTGTCATGACAGCCAACACCAGGACACAAGACTGGGGACAAAACCAGTTTAATTCAAAAGGGTTGTCCGTGCCATATGTACTGTAAGACCATGGTTCCAGTATTTTCCAGGATCTCCCATTCTGTATTACAGAGACTGACTGTGGCAGTGGCAGCTTGTTGGGAAGAGTCACACCCAAGTTTTTCACATCGTGGGTGCTGTGTGACCTGTCACTGAGGGCATCCTGGACATGAACAAAATCCTTAGGCAGATCCCAAGCGGGCTTATGCCTCCCATAGGGCACAAAGACATTGCTGAAGGGTTCTGAAAAATGTTACATGCTTTTATTTTCATTGATAGTTTTAGTGTCAGTCATCAGAGCAGTAAAAGAAAAATCCTAATTGACAAAAGCCACAAAGGCAGAGACCCCCAAAGCTGCATTTGTTCCCACTGTAAAGTTTGTAAAAGTTTGTTGATCGTCCATGCAGTGAGTACTTAATGGTAATGAATTACTAGGCATTAATTGCTGTATGTAATCCCCTGAAAGGGAGAAAAACTCGTTCTTTATGGTCAAGTAATCATATTTTCACTGCATCAGATGTCACAGTATCTGCCTCTTTCTGTACCTTGCTACCCATTCAGCAGAGCTGCAAGTTTGATAGAAATGTCTTAAGCCGTATCAGACAATGTAAGAAATTTCAAAGACATCTTGCTCTGTTCCACTGATTTACATTCAGTATTACAGTATTACATGTACAATATTACATATTCACAGCCCACAGTGACTGCATCCATTTGTGCAACCTGATCAAGGTCAAGCTGACCACTGCTCTTCCTTGACCCATATCAGTCCTCTGTGTGACAGCACCTGCTAGATAATGTGGTATTTCTTCCAAAAAGAGCAATGGTAAGGTACAGGGAAACATTTCCTGTTGTCATTATTGGTTTGAGGGGGTTGTGTTCTTTTTTTGAAAAAAAGTTCTTTGCTGTTTTTGAAATCTTTGGGCATTACAGAGCCAAGAAGGCAGGATGGCCAGCAGGTCGAGAGAGGTGATTCTGCCCCTCTACTCTGCTCTGGTGAGACCTCACCTGGAGTACTGCATTCAGCTCTGGAGCCCTCAGCACAAGAAGGACATGGAACTGTTGGAGCAGGTCCAAAGGAGGGCTACAAAAGTGATCCGAGGGCTGGAGCACCTCTCCTATGAGGACAGACTGAGAGAGTTGGGCTTCTTCAGCCTGGAGAAGAGAAGGCTGCGAGGAGACCTGATTGCAGCCTTTCAGTACTTAGAGGGAGCCTATAGGAAAGATGGGGACAATCTTTTTAGTAGAGACAGCAGTGACAGGACGAGGGGTAATGGTTTTAAACTAAAACAGAGTAGGTTTAGGCTGGATATAAGGAAGAAATTCTTTACAATGAGGGTGGTGAAACACTGGAATGGGTTGTCCAGAGAGGTAGTGGAGGCCCCATCCCTGGAAACATTCAAGACCAGGTTGGACAGGGCTCTGAGCAACCTGATCTAGTTAGTGGTGTCCCTGCTCGCTGCGGGGGGGTTGGACTAGATGACCTCTAGGGGTCCCTTCCGACCCAAAACTTTCTATGATTCTATGATTCTATGATTCTTTGATTGCCTTCATCAGGCCCAGCTGCTTTTCTTCTGGTCCACTTATTCTCAGCTTACAGGATACTTATTCACACAACTGTACACCTTGCAAACAAGAAATGATTGAGTGGAGTCAAGATTACTGCTGGAACACCAGCCTGGCTCCAGCACTCAGGCTTTTCAGAACACTGGGCATCTTTACTAACTGTGGTAACATCTCAGCAGGGGTCATAAGACACATATTTCTATATCTGCCTGGATGTCTGGCATTTTGCAATGGGAGCAGCAAGCCAGGACTGTGACTGAGAAGAGTCAAATTGAAGTGCTGCATTCTCAGAAGCAGTCAACCCCATGAGGAAATTACTTTTCTCAGCCTCTTTATACTAAGTAGTTTATTACTGTGGCTGAATGGAAATTCTTTTTGAGTTCACCTCACCACTTCGCTAATCCTTTGGAAGGAGCGAAGATGATGGGATGAGCCGTGAGGGACTTGGTTTATTTCATTTACTTTTGGAGTTTCTTCTGGAATCTTGGAACTTTTCCAGCTACCACCTTTAATATTTTCTTCCTGATGCTGTTGTTCAAAAGGTCAAGTTCTCTGTCTCAGACGTGGAGCACACAGACATTTGGGGTTTTTAAGAACATTGGCTACTTGTGCCACACTCCTCAAGTTTTAGAGCACAAGTCACTCCTTCCATCTGCTTTGGACTTGTTCCAATCAGAGATCTTTAAAAGAGGGCAGTATTGAACAGCCTGCCAACCTTTATCAAACGCTTTAATGCTTTTTTTAAATTAGCAACTGGAGCAATTCTGTTGTCATTATTTAACTGAAACAATGAAAATTCTTTCAGTCCTGTGGGCCCTAGGGGTTACATTAGCAGAATGTGTGTAGAGCTCGGGGGAAAAGGAATCTTGGTTACTGCTGTTTAAAATCATGAGAGTTCTAAAATTCACTTATTGCCTGTTCACAGCACAAGGAGAGGCAGCAGGGCAAACACACAACTCACTTTTTAAAAAATTCTGTCACCTAAGGACATATATGTACACCTACAGACAGATCCCTTAGGACGGTTTCTGTTCTTTTTCTCACCCCCATTTCTCCCTAAGATGTCTTCCTTACCCAGCCTATTGGTCAGCTGGGTGGTTTTGTTGACCCATACTTTTAGCAGGGTAGAAGTCCTCTGGAGAAGCTGGGTGAGTCCTGCCAATTTTCTTTGACAAATACTGTTGTGTTCATTGTGAATACAAACTAGCTAGAGATCCATTTTTAAGTCCCACATGAAGTGGCACTTAGAGCAATGTAAAAACCTAAAGCAGGAACTCTACAAGGAGCCAAGTCAAGGAGCCAGTTCTGAGAATTTGGACTTACATTTGATATTTTATGATTTGTGTTACTTTGTGAATACAAGTCAAACCCAGCAAAGGTTAGCTTTTATTTATTTTGTTTAGTTCTAATGCTGACTGTATGTGTTGGACTAGTTACTGCTTGTGAATTCTGTATAAATATACCGGCTGTTGTACACTGGTAGTACATTCTGAATTATTTCTTTTTTATTTAAAGAATTAATTTCTATACTGGTTGATTTACTATGCCTTATGTACTGTTATCTGATAAAACTAACGTGTTAATGTAAAAGGCGCTAGTGTGCTGTCAAGTGCTCTATGATGTTTGCTAGCGAAAATGTTGGCTTCAGAGCAGCATCTGTCACAGTCTGTTGAAAAAATGTGTGTTGCTGTTTGGTAGATGTTTGGTGGTACTATATCTGTCTTTTAAAACACCATATGCTAGTGACAGACCAACTTTTAGTAGAAGTCACCATCAGGTAAGTAGCAATGGAGTGGCAAGGTAACTTTAATATGCTCATTTTTCCAGAAAAGAGGTCACTTCCATTTTCAAATACACAGAAGTGTTTTAAATAATGTGATGTCCGTTTAACTAACCTTAAATAAAATAAAATGGCTACTGTCCCATTTATTAGATTTTTGTGCTATCACTCACTGCTTTTGCACAGCCAGTGTTCAATGCTGTATGACTAAATTCCTCGTTTCATCTTTATATTTGACAGTTCAATATATGTTCTTTTGAAATAAAAAGGGGAGAAAGTGCAGGGGAATTTGTTCCAGAATTAAATAACATCCTTGCAGAGACTCGAATTTGCTTGCTATTTTGTGCAAGATATAAAATCAAAATTTTTTAAGGAAACTTCAACTAGGTGGGGGTTTTTTTCCTCATTTTGGAAGACAGAGGTGGAAAAAGAATTACTTTGAAATGGGAAAAAAAAATCTCAATGAAAATCCTGTCCTGTTTCATTTGGGGTGCAGTAAAACCAACAAAAATACAACGTCAGGTAAAAGTTGTAAGCCCAGAAATAAATAAAATAAGAGCATCAGTCACTTTTATCGCTGGGGAACTTTCTTCATCTAAGCACATATGAACAATTGATCCTTGTAGTCATATATAGCAGTAAACATTAATAACTTAACAGTCTGAAGTCAGTGCTGAAGATATGGAGCATTATTGAAAGATGGAGTCGAGCAGGTGGCACTTTAATATGTTCAGTGTCATGGTTGACTCTAAAGACTAGTAGAATGAAATTACTTGAGGTTCTAAAGATTTAAAAAGCGAACTCATTTTGCTGCACTAAGGAAATGCTACTGATCAGGCTTTCTGTGTCCCTTTTTTCTAGGCTAGAAAATATTAACCCTGAAGAAAATGACATGGTAAGCCATTCTCTGAGGAGATTTCTTGATGTCAGTCTTATATCTTAGAGGCTTAAGTTCAATTGAGTGGGTTTCAAGAACTAAGATGTGGGAAAAAGAAGAATTGACACACTAATAATGTACATCTTTGCTGCAATATGAAAATTCAATAACTTCACTCAGTCAATTTACAATTCACATGTGCCTATTAATTAAAACCCTACATTAAATAAAATATATTAAAACTTCATGTCTGACTAACATATAATGCTGTTGGTAGACATTACAGGAATTACTGAACAGAATAAACAATGCAGACACGGGGATAGATATACTGAAGAATGGAGCTATAATTCTGAATCGAATACATAGGACCAAAGAACGTAAAAAGAAAATAATAGCTGAGGAAATGAATGCAGTAATAGAACAACGGGATGCTGCTTTGTCTCAAGTAAGTATCTACAAGTATATAATCACTCAATACCAAATTTCTTTTTTTTTATTTTTTTTCTTTTTTTTTTGCTTTACTTTTTGGAAAGATAATGATTTTGTTTACTTTGTTGAAAATCTCAAAGAGAGCCCCTATATGAATGGCTGATTAATGATCAACTGTTTCTTCATGGTAGTAGTGCCCATTGAAATCACATCAATGCATTTTATGATAAAAGTTATTTTTGTATTTTTTGCACCTAATAACTGGCTGTCTCCTTTTTTAAAACAAAATAGTTTTCAGCTATTAAGGGCTTAGTTTTGCAGTATGCTGTATTGGTATAATGCATTGGATGACAGTTAATTGGGACTCAGGGATTTGTAAAGGGTTATAAGTGGCAGAAATATTCATTAAAGGAAGATAATTGTACCACATGCAACAATGCAAGCAATTCCTCCCCCTGTTGCTTTACATTCAGGAGATAAAAATCAGCATGTGGTTCTTGACTCTTGAAGTCTTACGCTTCTGCTATGTGACTTGAAAGAAGCTGAGGTCCTTTTTCTGCTCAGATACTCATTCGCTGGGAGAATTTTCATTTTCACAGAACAATATTTTCTTCATTTCCTTCAACACTAGGAGAGTCTCCTTGCTTTTCCCATCTCGTGGCAGAGTTTTTCTGTTGTTTTGGTTTTCCCACAATTTTCTTTCCTGGGTTTTAACCTAGATTTAGCTCAATAGGAACAGATTATAGGAAGAAGCGGTCCAAGTAAGGAATATATCTCCTGGGAAAACATAAAGATTTTAGACTGGATGAAACTCCTTGTCTATTCATCCCAGGCAAGAAATTTCATCTGACTCTTCCAATATTTAAAATTTAGATTTTTAATGTGAGTTACCAAAGTTAGCCCACATCTAACTGATTTCTATTAGGTTTAAAGTCAGGTTTGTGATCTTGAGTGGTATTGGTATTGATAATGTTGATTGAATTTATGTTGTATTGAGAAGTCTCCTGGTAAAAGAATTCTTTCCACACACCCTGTAATTTTCACTTTTTTTGCAATTGTCATTTTTGCATTATCTCCTACTTTAACCTCCTACTTTAACTTCAAAAGCCCTATCTGCCTGGTGCGTAATATATTTTATGTGTCTATCCAGTGTGCACTGCAAGGGATGTTAATGTTGGAAGATGTTAGTGTTGGAACTTTACTTTTTCAGTCTACTTTTTTTCACTTTTGTAATAACGATGAGCAGCATAGCTACTGGGAAACATCCAACAGGGCTGCCAAAAGTTTATGTTCTTTCTTTTTTGCTCAGGGCATTTGAAAAGTGAGCAGCTTAGAAGAGAAAAGCTTTCAGCAAAAGAGAAGGATCTTTTGATATTTTTATTTTTATTTTTGTTTTGTCAGTTTTTGCTTCTTTGTTGAAGTGGACTTTCAGGCATACTTGCACCATAAAACTTCTATGAATGTCAGAAGAATGTAATTGTACAGCATTTTAATATACATTTTAATTGAATTAATTTTTAAGCTGAATGTTTAAGGAGTAATCTTTTCCAAGTAATCAGCTTGGAAATTAGTAAAGTTAATTATTTTATATGGTAATGGCTCAAGTACCACAACTAGCAAAGCCATTTTTAGGTCTGTCAGCAAAAAGCACAGGTAATGTTAGGCAGACAGTGCAGCTGAAGAACTAAATGAGTAAAATAATAAATCCTTGACAAATGAGAATTTAAGTAATTGGTACTAACCTGTACTACTGTGATACCGTTTGCAATCTAGAATACTGTTATTTTAAATTATTATTAATAGAAATTTATTGATCATGTGTTGTGTTTTCACATATGTGATATTTTTATGGCTGTAACTCTTGAATATAGAAAACAAGTCCTTGGAACTGAAGCTAGTATTTCAGCCTGTGTTTCTCACTTGATGATTCCTTGGGAATTCATGCCGTACTTGAATTATTAGTAGTCTTTTGTTAACATTGCAATAGCGGTAGTTATTACAGTGCTAACAGCAAGAACAATAGGAGAGGGATTCCTACATTAGATCACAAAGGGACTAGATATAATTCAGGGGATGTATATGCTTAGCATAACAAATGCAAATTATTGGAAGATAGATCTGAGGTCGCTTCAGGCATACATAACATCTGCAAGTTAAAATCTTTTTGATGGAAGTGACATCAAATATGAGGAGGGGATTGATGAGAGCAGTCTGAGACAAAGCAGCGTGCGGTGGCTGTCCTCTGGAAAAGGCATTTTTACAGTTCAGAGGTCACTGGGCAATGGAAGGTAAATGCTTCATGAGTCATTGTGTGAACACCGTGTGGCTCTGTTCCTGCTTGCTGTTGTGCGGTACTGGAGACAGCAATGTCATTTGAGTGACCACTGTAACCAGTTCCATATGACAGGGAACTGCCTATATGATAATAAAGGTTTGGACTAACTGTGTTTAATGAAGCTGCATCTGTTATCCTTCTTTATGGTTTGCTTCGCAGTAGCCTGGCATTTTGACAGTTGAGCACAGTGAATATGAGTTGTATCTAGCTTGTAGGATTTCTGATTTTTCTCAGTAAGAAACAATAATACAAAAGCCTTCACAGCTCGAACACATTGCTTTTATTTCAAGTAAGGAATAGGTTACATTCCTAGAGAATGGACATTCTATAAACTGTGCATTTCGTATGACCAAGTAAAATACAGGTTACTTTCAATTAGTCTTTGAAATGCAGTTTTGCAATACTTTTACTGGTAGTTATACTATTAAGTTGCATTTAACTGCACTGCTATTGCAGCATACTTGACAATGGTCAGATAGTTGTGATTCTTCTATTTGAATTTTACTTTAATAATTTTTTTATTCTTCAAAAAATGAAGAGTGCTGTCCATGTCTTGGAAAGGTCATGAGAACGTTTTTTTGAGCTGTAACACGCAAAAACATCTTCATTTTTTTTTGAGATTTCGAATTTGAATGTTACTTCTTACTAGGAAGCAGATAGAGGCACTTCTCTCACTATATTGAGCTGTGCATGTGTATGTAATCTTAGATCATTCACTAGATTGCTGAGCAAATATGCGAACTACTTTTTGTATGTGTGAAAACAAATAAAATGGTATAAACTCAAATATTTGATACTACTTTTAGTATGTATTTTCAAGTGAATAAAAAACAAACAACTAAAGCGTGGCTAAACATTGACATCCATCTTCTCCTGTACCAACCCCCTTAAAAAAACAAACTCAACTGTTTGGTTGTATTTGCTAAGATATGTTTGTTAGTGAACAGATATTGTGTTTTACTGGGGAGCTTGAGTCTGTTTTATGACTGATGTTCTGAAAGGAAAACGGAGAAAGATCAGTTTCTTGTCTGTAATGTTCGGTTTTGTCTTAACCCATTCAAGGAAAAAACTTATTTGTCCAGTTGGTTGTACTACAGTTCCACCTTTCTTCAAAAGTCTTTGATGCTTGAGTAATTCAGTTAGTGACAGACATTTAATAAAGGTCACATATGGCATAGTCACATTGTGTGATCTTGATAAAATATTTTAAAGAAGTGGTTTCCAGCAGGAGGCAATACAGTGCAATGTCTCAAACTAGCAATCACCTATTAACCACATCACACCTTATGGACAGGAATGTTAATATGATTACAAGGCTGGCAGCTGAAGCTGAGGACTTGAGTAAGCCACTACAATTACTTGTCTTCTGATACAGACAAGAAAGGGGGCCTTTTAATTGGTACAGCTTGAAGGAAGAGATTTTTTAAAGCTAAATAGGAGATGGCTTATAGTTCAGGAGATCATGTGTTTGATAGGTTTTCAGTCCTAACTTTCATTCTGTAAATGTTTTTTTTTAAGTGGGAACAGTCAGTTCTATACAGTTTTAAATATTAAAGGTGTAGCATTTGTTGTTAAGGAAAAACTGTGGTTTCATGGCTGGCAAAGTATAGTCTGTAGTACATGGTCTTGAAGCAATAACATAACTGGCAAGCAAACCTGGTTTTACAGCTTTGAATAGCTTGATCACATCCTGCTGTGCAGGAACATGCTTATGACTGTTCATGTAAAAAATTGGCATGCACCCAGTTGCTCATCTGAAGCAAATTTAAGTACCTTTCTCCGTTCTGAGGCACTGTTTGGCAGCAGGCAGCAGTTTATCATCATTGAAAACAAAGATGAGAAGCACTATGCTTGACTGCCCTTCATTATCAGTTTCGACTAATGACTAATAACTGATAAATGTCTGTACTTACAACAAGCGAGCTTCTTGCTAACTTTTTTTTTTTTACATTCTGCTCAAGCAGTTTCCTTCCTTTTATACTAAATAAGGTACAGAGCTCTGTGTTATCTGTGATTCACAGAGCATTAAGGCATTCTCAGCGCACATGAGTGAACAGGTCTTACTGAAGTAATAAACCAAAGAGCTATATAAAGTGTAAAAACAACAAAAGCATATGTAAATGAAAAAAAATGATTGCAGATCTTGGGCCCTTAATTTGGGAATACTCAGGTGATTGGTTACAATGCCTCATGACTCTCTTATCTTAGGATAGAGGTGATCCCTTTGCAACTCAGACAACAGTTTGGGATGTTATTTTCAGTAATTTGAATTAGCAGTTCAGTTTTAAACTCTATGTTTTGGTAACGTCTGACACTTCCTGATTAAGGATACTGATCAAGTTCTTGGTTGGCAGGAGCACATTTGACAATGTCCTGCCAGGATGCTTCCCCTACTACCTTTTGCCTTTTGCTACTGATATTTGGGAACAGGAAAAGAAAAGGAAGGACACTGTATTCACAGTTGTTTGTGAACCAGGCAGCTGCTGTGAGGTACTGATGATTTTGATCACAGGCTTATTTGAGGAGGGAAGTGAAAGTAAAGGAGACGTTTATTGTAATTTGAGGATCCAAGGACCATGCTGGTTCACTCTTATGGCTGGTTTCCTTTGGGCAGGCAGCAGCAAGTTCCTGTTGCCCTCATTTGCAGTACTTTGCTTTGAGAGGTAGCAGATGAATGGGCA